GGAAACAAACTATGTGTACAACAGTAGGGGACTGGGTAAATCATTTACAGTACCCGCTATAGCTACGCAAGCCATTTAACATCCTGGTTCAGTAACACTAAAACTATAAAACATTGTAAATGAAAAAGCATTTAAACTCATTTATACAGTAAAATCCAAATTATATTTCTTAAACATATACTTTATGTGTATGTGTGGAAAAGAGTTTAGAAAGATATACACCGAGCCAATTGTCTCTCTAGGAATTATAGGTGAATAAAGGACTTACAGGAAATTTTTTTGTTGTTTATTTGTATTTTCTATTTTGTCTATAAGTACTACCAGTTGCTATTGAGTTGACTCTGACTCATGGCAACCCCATGTGTGTCTGGGTAGAACTGTGCTCCATACAGTTTTCAAAGGCTGATTTTTTGAAAGTAGATTGCCAGGCCTTTCTTCCGAGGTGCCTCTGGATGGACTTGAACCTCCAACCTTTTGGTTAGTAGCTGAGAGTTAACTGTTTGCACCACCCAGGGTCTCCCTATGATAAATAAGTAGAGATTTTTATCTTTGAAACAATGGAATGTTTTCTGTTTCAGTTGTTTATTGCTGGGTATCACACCACCCCAAAATTAGCACCTGAGAACAGTAACAATTTAGCATTTTTTGTGATTCTGTGGGTTGGCTGGGTGGTTTGTCTACCAGTCTTACCTGGGCTCACTCATGGGGTCCACTGGGAGATGGACTCAGTGGGAACAGCTGGACAGCCAGGCTTCCCTCTCCTGTGATCTTTCATCCCCAGCTTCCTCATAGCATGGTGGACTCAAGACCTCATGAAGGTCAACACTGCAACACCTCTTCAATCCTAACTTCAGAAGTCACATGACATCACTTAGCCTCATTCTATTGGTCAAAGCAAGTCACATGTCCAGATTGAAGGGGTGGGGAAACAGACTCCACTCCTCAGTTGTAGGAGCAGCAAAGCATCCTGGCTATATTTATTGTTGTTGGGTGCCTTCCAGTCTTTCTGACTCATGGTGACTCCATATGACAAGTAGAACTTCTCCATTGAGTTTTCTCGCCTGTAATCCTTACGGAAGCTGGTCGTCAGGTCTTTCTTCTGCGAAGCTGCTGGGTAGATTCAAACCACCAACCTTTCCCGGTTAGCTGTCGAACTTAATCTACCACGATTTCTTGTTTTGCTTTCTTCTTTCTGCTTCTTCTTCATTGTTGTTGTTGTTAGGTGTTGTCAAGTTGGTTCTGACTCAATAGACCTCATGTATAACAGAATGAAATGTTGCCTGGTCCTGTGCCATCCTCACAATTGTTGCTATGTTTGAGCCCATTGTTGCAGACACTGTGTCAATCCATCTCATTGAGGGTCTTTCTCTTTTTTTGATGACCCTCTACTTTACCAAGCATGATGTCCTTCCCCAGGGATTGCTCCCTCCTGATAAATGAGACGAAGTCTTACTATCCTTGCCTCTAAGGAGCATTCTGGCTGTACTTCTTCCAAGATAGATTTGTTCATTCTTCTGGCTGTCCGTGGTATATTCAATATTCTATCGCCAACAGCGTAATTCAAATGCATTAAACAACGTTTTGCATTGGGAAAATCTTTTGAATTCTGCTTCAATGGAGAGAGAAAATCTGCTTTTCTAGAACTTAATCTACCTGAGTTCTAGTACTGCCTTATGGAAGTTATTTAGACCACGGGCGATGTGGAGAAGTTGAAAGAACTCTGAACTAATGGAGCTAAGAAGGGATGAGGACAGAGACCAGCCTACCCCAGCTCCTGGATTTTCTTCCTTGTGCCGCCCCAGCATTGGACTCCTTCCCATTCTTGGAGAACAACCGATTAATAATCTCCCAAGATATTCCAGATGTACTCTGTTCTCTCTCTGCAGATTTATAACTTATTTACTTGCTTGCTTAGTTTTAAAAGATGTTTTATTGTGGAATATATTATACATACAAAAGAGGACATAAACATAGTTATTTACAGTTTAAAGAAAAATAATAATACAAGCACGCAAGTACCTTCCACCCTGGTTAAGAAACAGAGTTTTACCATTACCTTAGAAACTCCTGAACTCACTATCAACCTGATGTTTTTATTAATCATCCTTCACTGTATGTATAAAACTATGGCGTCACATGAGGTTGCCATGAGTTGGCATTGACTGGATGCCAACTAACAACAATTAGATAATAATATTAAATAAATGGCAAATTTCCTGAGTGTTATAATGCTATTGTCGTTCTATAGGATAATGTCTTTGCTCGTCGGAGGGACATGCTGCAGTATTTAGGGTTGATATGTTACAATGTGTTGAATTACTTCTCAAATGGTTCAGCAAAAATTATGTATATATATATAGATATCAATCAACTGTGGCAAAAGACTAGAAATTGATGACTGGTGTATGGAGATTTATTTTTCTATTCGTGCAACCTTTCCTGCAAAGTTGCAAAATAATAAGTTTGAGGAGAAGCAGGTAAACTCTGCTGGGCTTGTGTGGGTATAAAGAGGTGCCGGGGCCCTTTAAGACCGAGCCCGCCCCTTACGGCTCATCCTGGGCCCCTCCCACCCCGGAAAGGCTCGGCCTAGGCTCCTCCCCTCCCTCTGGGCCCTGCCTTCTTCCCGCTCGCCCCGCCCCCGATGCCTGCGGCTCCGCTCGCCGCGGCGGAGCGCAATCACGTGAACCCGGTTGTGGCGCGCCGCTCCGCGCCGTCATGGTGGCCCCGGTGTACGGCTCCCCGGGCGGCCGCCTGGCCCGGGCGCTGACGCAGGCGCTGGCGCTGGCTCTGGTGCTGGCCCTGCTGGTCGGGCTGTTCCTGAGCGGCCTGACGGGCGCTATTTCGCCTGCGGGGCACCGCTGGGGGCCCGACGGGCCGTCGCCGCCCGCCTCCCGCAGCCGCTCGGTTCTCCTGGACACCGCGACCGGGCAGCTGCGCCTGGTGGACGGCCGCCACCCTGACGCGGTGGCTTGGGCCAACCTTACCAACGCCATCCGCGAGACCGGGTAAGGGTTGGCCTGACCCCGCGCGGAGCCGATCTGGGAGGGGATTCGAGGGCGCTGGGCTTCTGCTTCGGCCGGAGGTGCCCATATCCCTGGGGCCAACCTCTTTCCAAGTGACAGCCCTTTCTGCCTTTCCCCCCTGGGGGTCAGTTCCCGCCTCTGAGGCTGCAGCACCCTGATCTGGACCAGGTCCATGCTTGGGGGGGGGGGTAATGCAGCATCCCTCACCTCATGGGAGCCAATCCCTTGTCTCCATCCTGGAATGACAGTACTTCTGTCCCCGTAGAGACCAGTTTCCCACCACTAGTCCCCAGTGGCTCATCTGGACCAGGTCCCTGGCTGGGGGGGAATGCATGCAGACCTCCCATCTCCATCGAGATCTGCCTCTTACTGCAATGCCCAACCCCTTGGAGGCCAGCCTCCTGTCCCCAGGCCTGGGGTGGTGGTGACAGCTCTCCAGGTGCCAGCTCCCTGCCTGCCTTCCAGAACCACGGCAGCAGGACTGAGCCCGGGCTCCAGGCCAGTCTGAAAGTGGAGGGTCCCTAAATTCACACAGACCCAGATAGTATCCTTGTCAGGGCTCTGCTTCTCTCCTTGGCCAGGTGCTTAGCGTGGAGCTTCGTACTTGGCAGTCATGCTGACTCCGTATAACTGGGACCTAGGCTGCCGTTCTCTTGTGTGACTCTTCCCTAGCTCCTCTGCCTGTCTGGGCTCCCATTTCTCTATCTGTGGCCTGATTTTTAGCATGTGCTCTGGCAGAGAGGTTGTGGGGAGCCCTCAGAACTTGTGCAAGGGGTAGGGTAGCCTTTTAGGTTTGTGCCCAATCATTCATTCATTCATTCATCCATTCTCTTGGAGCTTGGCCTTGGGGACACAGAGCTGAGGAAGGCTGGGGGTACTGCTCACTGGGGGAGACAGACACTACCAGAAGAGAAACCAGAGTCAGTGGGAGTGGGGAGGACAGCAGGGCCCAGGCCCTGGATCCAGGAAGTGCTGGGGTCTTAGGAAAACTTGAGTGCCCCCAACCCCATCCTGGGCATGTCTCAGTGCCCGTTGCCCCCTTCAGCAGGCATGGCCACCTCCCACTGCAGCCCCCACCCATTTTGCTGGCATGCGTTGCTTCCTGCAAGTGTTGGGGAGACACAGGACACTGAGGACACCCCTATTCTGGTATTTTATGACACTTGGGGGATATAAGATAGACGGTAGGTGGGAGATTTGGGGGAGGAGATTTGCTGCAGACACAGGAGCGGGCGGGGCAGTTCTGGGAAGGCTCCCAGGGAGAGGAAGCCACAGTGTGGCCTGGCGTCTCTGGAGGGCACCAGAGCTCTGTGGCTGGCTGCAGGGGTGGCCATAACTCTGGGATCTGGTGACCCATTCTCTGCTGACTCACACATGTTTTCAGCTCTGCCTAGCATAGCCAAGGGGACATGACAGCCCTCTGCCAGGGTGCCAACTTGGAGGAGGCACAGAGGTGATGCCCAGCATCCTTGGCCCCAGGAAGCCCTCACTGGGTTGGCTTGTTCTCAGTTATGGAAAACTGGGAAGTGAAGTGCTGGATGGACAGTCAAGGGCAGACAGGCCAGAATCCCTGGGTTCCAGGGCCATCTCCGCTGCTGTGTGACCTTAGGCAAATCACTTCACCTCTCTGAGCTTGTTTCCTTTCCTGAAGGTGGGGCTCAGAGTCATAGAAATTCACCTGAATCACAGAAAGCATCACTATTTATTTGCTGAAGGAAGGAATGAGTGAAAAGGAAAGGAGCAGGTATTCTTTGCCCGCATTTTATAGTTGGGGAAACTGAAGGCCGAGAGGTGAACCCGGGTCTTCTTGCTCTCCCCTCACCATTCCGGAATCTTTTCTGTCCAGGCTTATACTTCCTTCTCTTATGCTCACATGTCCCTTCCCTCTGAGTTTGCCAGCATCTGGGGCTATGATGTAGGGAAGATCGTATCTGGAACCCCATTTTACAGATAGGGAAACCGAGGCCCTCAGAGACAGCCTCCTGAGAACTCAGGGGTAAGATGAGAGACAGATATTTGGAGTGTCCTGGTCCCTAAGGCAGCAGAATCTCTGATCTGGGGTTAACTCACTCTTACTTTTTTTTGGAGGATGTGGGCCAACGATTTGACTCCTCTGTTCACCTGGAATTGGGGTCCTTTCTCCTTTCTCTCCTTTAGATATGGCTGATAATCCTCAGATTGTCAGGACAAATCACATCTCCTCCACCAATAGCCCCGCCTCTTTCAGTTGTGCTATATCTGGCTTTGGACCTGCGCCCCTGACGTGGCCCAGAAATGGTTAGGGTTTGATGCTTGGAGATCAGAAAAACCGTACCACCTCCTGCTCAAGCCTCGTTCTGACCTTGGTCCTAGGGAGACTGAACCCTCCAGCCTTACTTTTTCTTCCTTCCCTGACTTGATTGCACCAACCAGCACCTTACCCACTGTTTGAAGTAAATCATGATCCATTTGGGATCAAACCAAACCTCTTGCCGTTGAGTCAGCTCGACTCATAGTAACTCCATGTGTTACGGAGTAGAACCAAGCTCTATAGGGTTTTCTTGTCTGTCATCTTTACCGAGGCAGATTGCCAGACCTTTTTTCCGTGGTGCTGCTGTGTGGGTTCGAACTGCCAGCCTTTTGGTTAGCAGCCGAGTGCAAACCATCTGCGCCAAGTGAATCAAAATAAGAGGAAACTAACAAGTAACACCCAGATAGGTGGCATGTGCCCAGCAACACTAGTCTTTCTGGAACACCTTGGGTAGGAGAGGCTCCCACTAATGAGGTTGTGCTCCATGCTACCGGATTTCAGCGATTGAGCCCTCAAACCTGAATCCCCCCATTGCCTCAGGCCCCAACCCCTTGTCAACTGCTTTCCTCCCTGAGCCTGCAAGGTTATCACCACCCTCATTTCCAAGCTGAGGCCCCTGCTCAGGTCACCTGCTGTGAAGTACCTGGGCAGAGAATCGAGAGAATAACATATCAAATCCACCCACCAACAAGCAAAAACCCAGCCCAGGAAAAAGGATAAATAAGACCCAGCTGTTTCTTTGAAAAGTCACAAATAATAAATATATTCCATCAAGAATGAGAAAGAAGTGATAACCACAGATGAGGGGGCCCCACCTAATGGAACGCGTCCAGGGCCGTGCTGGACCGCTGAAGGGGGCTGGTGAGGAGAGATCTACGGCCCCGCCCATCTCAGATCTGGCTTTTTCGAAACGTGACCTGTCTCAAGGAGCACCACCACCAGTTGCTGTCAAGTCATTTCCAACTCATGGTGACCTCGTGTGTGTCAGAGTAGAACTGTGCCCCATATGATTTTTAGTGGCTGATCTTTCAGAAGTAGATTGCCAGGCCTTTCTTTTGAGGCACCACTGGGTGGCCTCGCAGTCCAGTCTTTCAGTTAGTAGCTGAGCGTGTTAACCGTTTGTACCACCCAGGGACTTCCTTCTCTGAGGACAGAGGCTCCTGGATCAGACCCTCACGTTGTCTCCGGGATATTAGCTGTCCCTGGCAGTGGTTAAGAGCTTGGTTGCTAGCCGAAAGGTTGACAGTTCAAATCCACCAGCTGCTCCTTGGAAACCCTGTGGGGCAGTTCTCCTCTGTCCTATAGGGTTGCTATGAGTCGGAATTGACTGGATGGCAATGGGTTTGGTTTTTTTTTTTTTTGGCATAGATAACAAAATGACATTGTAGTCAGTAGACATTCCAAACAAAAAATCTGGGGAAACAGATCCAGCACTGCCAACGTTTTATTTTTGTCACGCCAGTGCATTAAAAACAGAACAGAAAAATATTTATTGACCTCTGCCAGTATTATCTCACAGAAGAACAGCCGTTATAGAACTAAATAAGCAGGAAGAACACAGCCTCTGAATAAAGAACAATCTTTTGCAAGTACAGCGGGCTTTAGAAACACTCTCTTGTAGGTGTTTCCTTTTGCCAGGGGCTGGGGTAGAGTTTTTCAAAGTTGCTGATCAGCACAGCCGCAAGGGATTCTAGACACCATTCGTCCCAACCTCCCTGTTTCACACAGCAGCAAAGGCGGCTGGGGTGATTCCGTTTAGACGGCCTTTATTATTTCTGCCTGAGTTTGCAGAAAACCCAGATAGGTGCCATTTGCCCGCAACAGTCTTTCTGGAACACCTTGGGAGGGGTGGGTCTGCCCTTTGCTAGCAGCGTTACCTTTAGCAAGTGTATCACTAGTATGGGCAACAGTGCTGTGTGACAAACCCCCCCAGACCCAGTGGCCTGACACTCCCCGTGCATCTGTGGGATGGCTGGGGTGGCTCTGTTTCAAGCTGCGGGTCTGAGGACCTGGCCTGTCCCACGTGACTCTATTCCTAGGACCAGTGGGCTGCCGGGGGCTGTTTTTCTCGTGGGGATGGCGAAGGTGCGGGAGGGCATGTAGAAACGAGAGGCCTCTTGAAGGCTAATGTAGAACGGTCGCGGTCACGCTGTCTCTTCCACCCACATTCCATTGCCCAAAGCCCAGCCCAGTTCTAAGGGCGGGAAAGGACACTTAGCCAATGGTGGGAGGGACTACAAAGGCACCGAGCGGTAGAGCAGAAGGCGTGGGCAGAGGGAGGGAAGGAGGCAGAACTGGTCGGGCAGTTGACCGCGGCAGTTTGGTAACTCCAGGCTTTCATTTCCCCTTCTGCCCTGCCATGGGACAGTAATGGCCTGCCTTGCAGGATTGCAGGACTGTCCTGAAGATTCGGTGTGTTGATAGACAAGAAAGTGTCCAGAACAGTGCCCGGCCCAGAGGACACTTTGCCTAAGTGTTCTGGGTGAACCAATTGTCGGCAAGTCAATTCCAACTCACAGCGACCCTGTGTGTGTCAGAGTAGAACTGTGCTCCATAGGGTTTTCAATGGCTGAGTTTTTGGAAGTAGAATGCCAGGCCTTTCCTTCAAGGTACCTCTGGGTGCACTTGAACCGCCAGCCTTTCCATTAGCAGCCAAGTGCGTTAACCATTTGCACCATGCAGGGCCTCCCCAGTAAATGTTAGCTGGTATTATTGTTGGTGGTGGTCACATAGATCGGTACAACTTTTTGGAGGGGACTGTTTGATGGCATCTGCTAAAATGAAAAATACGGGTGCTCTTTTATCCAGCAGTTCTGTTTTTAGGGATTTCACCTGACCAGTGCCCAAAGATGGACAGACAGATAGACGTTCTTGTGAAGCTGTCTGTCATGGGATTATTGATCATGGTTTAAGCTAGAGACAGCCTGCTCATCCAGCCCTTGCCACTGACCAGGTGTCCCCTCCCCCCCAGGTGGGCCTTTCTGGAGCTGGGCACAAGTGGCTGCTATAATGACAGCCTGCAGGCCTACGCGGCTGGCATCGTGGAGGCTGCCGTGTCTGAGGAGGTAAGGGCCGTGGTGGGGGAACGGGGCCCCAACTTCCCTCCACCAGGTGAGCTCCCCAGGATGCTTTGGAGGGTTTCGAGGTGTGTGCAGAGTGGACTTGGTCCCCCTACTCTCCACCTAATCGAGAAGTAAAGGCTCACACGTGTTCTTTAAAAAAATTACCTTATGAACTATCTGATGTATGTAAAAATACATGACATATTATAAATTAGGAAGCATAATGATCAAATGAATATTTCTCACAGGGTGGGGGGTGTGGCTGGAAGTTACTGCCCAACCTTTGCCCAGTGAGCTCAGTGTTTGGGAAGTCGAAACTCCTCATCCTTACGTGGGTTCACATCTCGGCTCTTTCATTCCTTACCTGGGTGACCTTGGGAAAGTTACTCACCTACCTGTGCCTCAGTTTCCTCAGCTGCAAAGTGGAGCTGCTGATCCTAGCGCCTTTTCTACAGAGTCGCTGCGAGGTTTGAATGTGTCAGTTCATAGAGTGTTCGTTAAACGTTAGCTGTGGGCAAGTGTACTTCAACGAGATGAGCCGTTCTCTCCCGCGAGAATATCAGCAGGTGGTTTTGTTGGTTGGGGCCAGGCTTGGCTGATCTTGGTTGGGCTCACTGATGCTCTGCAGTCAGCTGGGGCAGGCTGGCGATCTAGGATGGCCTCATTCACATGGCTGGGGAAACGTAGTTTTTCTAGCAGGCTAGCCCCAGCTCATTCACACGGCCTCTGGGCAGGGAAATGTGGAAGGCCTCTTGAGGCCCGGTTGAAACTGGACAATATTCTGTTGCCCAAAGTGGGTCAGGAGGCATGTCTGCTCTTTTGTTCACTGCTGTGTCCTGAGTGCTAGAACAGCTTCTGGCACATAGTAGGTGCTCAAAAAATTATTAGTTGACCGGCTAACCAGTGGATTGAATGCATGTATATATAGATGGGGTCCCTGGTAGCAGAGGAGGCATAATCCAGTATTGACCTTGAACTCTAAAGACTTCCAGTGGAAGGAGACTTCCAGAAGTGTTGGCCCCTGATGATGGTTAAGAGTAGGCCAGTGAGGAGGAGGGCCTTGCAGGAGAGGAACCCGTTTGAGGTGAGGTGAGCCTGCATGGGAGCCAGTGGGGTCTTCAGGGAAGGGGGCAGCCATGCCGCCCTGCCCTTGCCCACCTCTTCCATTCCCCGCAGCTCATCTACATGCACTGGATGAACACGGTGGTAAATTACTGTGGCCCCTTCAAGTACGAAGCTGGTTACTGTGAGAAGCTCAAGAGCTTCCTGGAAGCCAACCTGGAGTGGATGCAGGAGGAGATGGATTTGAACAGGGACTCTGCTTACTGGCACCAGGTGGGCACAGCTGCCACGCTCAGCGGGATGGGGAAGGGGGTTGGGTCTGCCTCGGAGTCGGCCACCCCTGTGGCTGCTGGTCCTCCAGCCGGCTGACTGCCCCGTCTCCCACTTATCTTGGCCAGCCCTGTGGCCTGTCCAGCTGCGCAGTCACCCTTGTCCATCATGATCTCCATCCTTCCCAGCCAACCTGCCATTCATCCACCTGTCCAGTTTCCACCTGTCCATCTGTCTGTCCTCCCACTTGATGGTACTCCAGCCATCCATCCTAGCCTTCCTGTTGTCAAAGTATAACCAAAGACATAGAGTCCGTTGTTAACATGCTAGTTTACGTGTATGCAAGAGAGATCACTCAACACATTGATAGGTTGATCACGCTGAGTGCAGAGAAAGTGGGGAAGGGGAGAAGAACAGGGGAATAGCATGCGATTTGGGCACAGTGAATTTTGTTTTCCTTTCCTTGGGTAAGCTGTTGATTAGCTAGCCCTCACCCTGAGGCCCCAGGCAGGGTGTTCTGCCTTTGGGCAGCTGGATAGATCATCAAAAATAAAAAATGTCAGTTATTTACAGATTCTTTGAAAAACCTCAAGAGTTTATATATGAAGTACATGCCACAGGTTGTCTCTGTAAAATGGCCGTTGGTGTCTGTTGGCACCTCCACCTAGCTTAGGCAAGGTTTGCCCCATTCCCTTCAGTAGAATTTCTCACCGTCCACCTGCCCATCTGCTTATACTGTTACTAGAGCAGGCTCTTCCACTCATTCACCTACCTATCCACCCACCGACTCAGCCACCCATCTGCCCATCCACCACTCATCCATCCAGTCTCCTTCCTTCCCTCCCTCCCTTTCTCCCTCCATCCATACGTCCGTAACCCACTCACACATCTAGCTTGTCTTCCCACCCACCTGCTATCTGTCCATCTGTCACTGTCTTCCTTTCATCTACCTATCTACCCCATTGAACACTTCTGTCACCCGCCTGCCCATCTTAGCCCAGTCATCACTTCCACCCACCCACCGACCCTGTTGATACACCCTGTTTGGTTGCCTGGCCATCTCCCTGTCCGTGGTCTACCTATCTGTGCACCTGCCCTCCCAAAGCTTCCTCCATCTGCCTGCCAAGCCATCTCTCCCACCACCGCATCTCCTCCACTGCCTGCTCCTTCTTCCTGGCCACGTGAGCATGTCTCAGCCCTCTCATCTGTTGATCCATCACATCTGCTCATGGTCTCTCCTCTTACATCTCCTCAGGGGCTGCCCACTGCTCTCATGATGAAGCCCTGCTTCTTGTTGTGGCCTCGGCACACTCCCTGCCCTCTCTTCCCTAGCTCCACCTCCCACCGCCCTCCCTGCTCCCCATGCTCCAGCCCCTCTGCCTTCTTTCAGTTCCTTGAGCAAGAGTGTTACCTCCTACCTCAGGGTTTTCGAACATGCTCTTCCTTCTGCCCAGACCACCTTCCTCCGCTTTGCCCAGCTAACTCCTACTTGGTCCTCACCTTCAGCGTCCTGTCCCTGGGCTTCTGTAGCACTGAAAATGGTAACTATAGTGAGGTATCCAGAGTCTCTTTTCAGCTCAACTGTGAGTTCCAAGAGGATAAAAACCACATCTGTTTGTTCTCCACCATAGCCCCGGTGCCTAGCACATAGTAGGGGCCTAATAAATAAATGTTGGTTGAAGATGTATGACTCTGTCTTGTCTTGTCCATCCACTCCATGCACCTGACTGACATTTGTCACTCCCTCTTCCCTTCCATCCATCTAGTCAATTGCTTCTTTCTCTGTCCTCCCCTTCTGTTTAACTCAGCAGCTACCCGTCCATCTGTCAGTCCTGCCTGTCTGTATATCCATCCATTCATTCATCATCTATCCATTTATCTGTGTGTCTCTCCGTCTGTCTCTCCATCCATCCATCTGTTCATTCATCCATCTATCCATTTGTTCCTCTGTCCATCCATCCATCCATCCTCCCATCCATCCATCTTGCAGATGCTTTCTAAGCGCCTGGTGTGTGCACAGCACAGGACAAAGCCCTGTAGGGGACATGGTGATGATTCTCCATGGCTACAGGCTGTTGAGGCAGAACAGTGACAAAGAGGAGAAGCCAGCCGCATGAGGCAGGTGCCCTGAGGCAGCAGTGCAGCCAGTAACTACACTCAGAGCAAGGAGCTGTTGGCAGTGGGCCAGGACCAACTGGGAGGCTTCCTGGAGGAGGTGGCTTTTGAGCTGGGCTCAGAAGTGGGGATGATCTTGGGTTGCTGGGGATATAGAGTTAATTAATTGAAGGCAGTCCTTGGCATGGAGGGGTGGGTGGTGGTTAACAGGGTCAGGGCTGGCTGGAACCTGGAGGGTATGCCTGGGCCTCCAGGCCTAAGCCCTTCCTGTTGGAAGAGAAAGTGTAAGCCTGAGGGAGAGGCCTCACCCTACCTTTGACCTCTGCCCCCTCCCCCCAGGTACGGCTGACCCTCCTGCAGCTGAAAGGCCTGGAGGACAGCTACGGAGGCCGCATGACCTTCCCAACTGGGAAGTTCATCATCAAACCCTTGGGGTTTCTGTAAGTGCCACCCAAGAGTGCACAGGGTCGGGGAATGGGCCACACACCTCAACATCAGACAGACTTGGGCTCCAGTACCTGCTCTGCCACTTCCTGGCTACATGGCCTTGGATGGGTCGGCTAACCTCCCTGAGCCTCAGCTTGCTCATCCTTGAAATGGGCATGATAATAGTACCCACGGCAGATGCAGTAATCCTCTTCTGCCTTGGCCCTCCTTAGTCTCTTACAGCTCTCTGGGGACCTGGAAGACCTGGAGCCAGCTCTGAATAAGACCAAGACCAAGCGTGCCCTGGGCTCGGGTTCCTGCTCCGCCCTCATCAAGCTGCTACCTGGCCAACGTGACCTGCTTGTCGCCCACAACACCTGGAACTCCTACCAGCACATGCTGCGCATTGTCAAGAAGTACTCGTTCCACTTCCACGAAGGCCCCCAAGGTGGGTGGACGTGGGTGTATGTGAGTGTGAGTGGGCAGGGTAGATGGGGTGATACTAGGAGGCATGGGCCTAGGCAGCCCTTTCTGCTCCCCTGTGCACACTAGAGTCAATGTAGGGCCCTTCTCAGAGTTCATCTTGTTTGTAGCATGTTCACTTCTTTCATTTTTTTTTCCTTCACAAAGTGTATCAGTTAGCTATTGCTGCATAACAAATCACTCCCAAACTTAAAACAACCAATGCTGAAAATAATAACCATTTATTATCATTCATGTGTCTGCATGTCAGTGGGTGGTTTTGTTGGTCTGGGCCAGTGTCCTAGTTATCCAGTGCTGCTATAATAGAAATATCACAAGCAGGTGGCTTTAACAAACAGAAATTAATTTTCTCACAGTTTTCGAGGCTAGAAGTCCAAATTCAGGCTGCCAACTCTAGGGGAAGCCTCTCTCTGTTGGCTCTGGGGGAAGGTTCTTGTTTCTTTTCAGCTTCTGTTCCTGGGTTCCTTGGTGATCTTCATGTGGTGTGGCATCTCTCTTCCCCAATCTCTGCTTGCTTGCTTGCTTGTTTGCTTAATCTGCTCTTTTATATTTCAAAAGAGATTGATTAAAAACACACCCTAAAAACTAAAACCATTCCCGAAGCCCACCCTTCAGACAAAGATTAGACTGGACTATAAAACGTAAAATGATACTTGTGAAGAGTGTGCTTCTTAGTTCAAGCAGATACATGAGACCAAATGGACGGCTCCTGCCCAGAGGCAGAATGAGAAGCCAGAAAGGGACAGGAGCTGGTCGGATGGACACAGGAAACCCGGGGTGGAATGGGGGAGTGTGCTGTCACAGTATAGGGAGAGCAACTAGAGTTACATAACAATATGTGTATAAATTTTTGTATGAGAAATTAACTTGAGCTGTAAACTTACACCTAAAGCACAATAAAAAAAAGTATATATATATATAAGCATACGCTACAGTAATAAAAACTCTGTTGCCTATAGTATGTCCCATCGTCCCATAAGATCACATTGAGTCGCTTCCGACTCATAGTGATCCTATAGGACAGAGTAGAACTGCCCCATATGGTTTTCTAGGCTGTAAATCTTGATGGAAGCAGACTGCTATATCTTTCTCCTGTGGAGTGGCTGGTGGGTTTGAACCACTGACGTTTCAGTTAGCAGCTGAGCGCTCAACTAGCTATACTATATTAATACTGCTTCATTAACATATCAAAAAGCTGTTTCCCAAATGGGATTGTAACCACAGGTATAGAGGTTGGGATTTACAACACATATTTTTGGGGGACACAATTCAGTCCATAACAGCGAGGCTTGGCTGATCTTGGCTGGGCTCCGTGATATTTCTGCAGTCGGCTGGCAGGTCAGCTAGGGTGGGCTGGCCATCTAGGGTGGCCTCATTCACTGGTCTAATTCTGTGGTACCACTTATTGCATGCTTACTGTGTGCCCACTGTTGTGCCAGAGGCCCTTTACATGTGTGATCTTTAAATTAAATCCTCACGACCTGCCTGTGTGGGGATGAGGAAATATTATTCTCATTTTGCAGATAAGGAAACTGAACCGCAGAAAGGATGGGTAACTTTCCGGTGGTCAGACAACTAACATGTGGCTAGCTGGGATGCTGCCAAAAGCAGGGGTCTCAGATTTCTGGGTCTTGCCATCTGAATTGTCTTTTTTTAATTAGTTATTTTTGTGAGTGTGCCCTTCATTTATTTCCAAAACAAATGAATTTAAGTCAAAGATTGTGTTCCTTATTCAGGATCACTGTGCATTATTCCAATTTCGGAACCTTACAAATAAAGTTTTAAAAAATTTCAGTGAGATCCAAAATGTATCAGAAAAATCTTTAAGTGAAAAGAGCACTTTTTTTCCAAGTTCAGAGAATTCTAAGATACACACCCGCACACACTAATACATATACATATTGTTGTTGTGTGCCGTCAAGTCGATTCCAACTCATCGTGATCCTTTAGGACAGAGTAGAACTGCCCGATAGGGTTTCCGAGGCTGTAATCTTTACGAGGAGCAGATTGCCAGGTCTTTTCTCCTGCAGAGTGGCTGAGTGGCTTCAAACCACCGTCCTTTTAGTTAGCAACCAAGCGCTTAACCATTGCACCACCAGGGCTCCGTAAACACACACACACACACACACACACACACACACACATTTGCCACATTAACCATTTTTAAGTGTAGAATTCAGTGGCAGTAATCATATTCACCGTGTTGTGCAACAATTACCACTCTCCGTTCCCAAAAGTGTTTCATCCCCTCAAACAGAAACTCAGTACCCCTTCAGCAATAACGCCCCTTCCCTCCCACCTCCAGCCCCTGGCAACCACTAACAAACGTTGGTGCCTATGCATTTGCCTTCAATTGTTGTCTTTTTTACAATAAATCTTGTTTTTTTTTTCTTTTTATTGTGATACAGATACTTGCCATCTCTATATCTTCACAGGCACGGTTCAGCGACATTAATTGTTCATCATGTTGTTCCATCACCCTTAACTGTTCCCAAATTTTTCCCTCACCCCTAACTACGAGAAAGGTTTTTATGCACGCACGCACACACACATTTATATATGTCAGATGGCCTGGTGTGCTAAAGGACAGGAGAGGCTGGGGCTTCCCCTGAGGCCTGCTGGCTTCCCACTTGGAGACCTCCTGGTGCCTTGCTGGGTGGGGATGCAGGGCCCCATATGGGCCTGTCTGACCAGTTTCCTCCCCCCACCGCCCCCGGGGCACTGTCCCCACAGAGAACTCTCTGCTGGCTCCCGGCAACAATCTGGTCTTCTCGTCCTACCCCGGCACCATCTTCTCCTGTGATGACTTCTACGTGCTGAGCAGCGGGCTGGTGAGTCTCTTCTCGAGTCAGCTTCATCCCCGACTTCCGCAGGACTGGTTACCACCCAGAAGCTCTGGGCAAGCGGGATTCATTTCCTCGGCCAGTGGGAACTGAGCGTCAGCCTCGTGCTGGGTGCTGGGTCGGGAGGGACACAGCCCCCACCCCACTCCCCTGCATCTGGGGTTGAGCTAGTTCTCTGGGTGTGGGGCTTGAACCTCTGGGAGGGCTTGTTGCAATGCAGATTCCCAGGCTCTGCACAGGGCCTCCGAAACCAAAAACATAGCCAGGACTCTACACTGTGATCCAGCTCCTCAGAAATTGTTGGTCTTGGGACCTTTCGAACCTTGACCTTGACAACCCCACTTGGATGCCTCACTGTGTTGTTTAAGATAAACCGCTGCTCTTCCCCAACGACCTTACTCCCTCTTCTACGCACCTCCCTCCTACTTTCCACAAAACCCCTCTAACCTGGTCAGGTTTTCTGAATAAATGTTGTTTACAATGTGTCGTTCTTATCTTTTCCTGGCTGGGATCCAGCGTCTTTTAGAAATCTGTTCCTGGCATCCCAGCCAAGGCAGTGAGCCCTGTGATCGCCAGGGCAACCGCTGCAGGGGAGAAAACACTGCTTGAAGAAAATCCCTCCGGGCAGGGACGCCTGCTCCCTACTGGGAGCGGAGGGCCTCTCCTTCCCTTTGCCTTTCTGTTAGTTTTTTTTTTTTTATTTTTTTTATTTTATTGTACTTCAGGTGAAGGCTTACAGAACAAATAGTTTCTCATGAAACAGTAGTACACATGTTGTTTTATGACATTGGTTAACAACCCC